TGCAGCCCTCTGTCATGAGGGCTGCCCAAGAACACGAATACAGGGGGTTCTGAAACTCGCTTTTCCCCTGGAAGATGTGCCAAGTGTATTTCTTTTTTAAAAAAATTTATCAGGGTGACATTGGTTGACATGATCATACAGGTTTCAGGTGTGGGTTTCTATGTTACAAGATCTGTATATTGCACCGTGTACCCAACACCCAAAGTCCAATCTCCCATCACCATTTATGGGGGCCCCCCTCTCCCCACTCCCTTCCCTCTGGCAACCACCACACGGCTGTTTGTTCACGAGTTTTAGTTTTATATCCCACATATGAGTGAAATCTCTGGTTCTTAGCTTTTTGTGACTGACTTATTTCACTCGGCATAATGTTCTCAAATCTATCCATGTTGTTGCAAATGGCGCCATTTCATCCTTTCTTATGGCTGACTTGTATTCCATTGTGTATATGTACCACATTTTAAAAATATATATTTTTATTGATTTCAGAGAGGAAGGGAGAGGAAAAGAGACAGAAACATCGATGATGAGAAAGAATCATTATCGGCTGCCTCCTGCACGCCCCCAACTGGGGACCAAACCCGCAACCCAGGCATGTGCCCTGACCAGGAATCAAACCGTGACCTCCTGGTGCAGAGGTTGACGCTCAGCCCCTGCACCACGCCGGCTGGCCTGTACCACGTCTTCTTTATCCAGGCCTCTATCACAGAACTCTGGTTGTTTCCGTGTCTTGGCTGTGAATAATGCTGCAATGAACATAGGGGTGCATATATCTGTGAATACATGATTTCGAGTTTTTCGGGTGTATACCCAGGAGAGCGACTGCTGGGTCGTATGGTAGCTCTATTCTTAATTTTCTGCGGAATCGCCAGACTGCTTTCCATAGTGGCTGCACCAGCCTACATTCCTACCAGCAGCAAATGAGGGTTCCTTTTTCCCCAACCTCTCCAACATCAAGTGTATTTTCTTCCTCCCTCCCTCCCTTTCTTTTTTGATCAGCTGCCTCCTGTATGCCCCACACTGGGGATCGAGCCTGCAACCAGGGCATGTGCCTTGACTGGGAATCGAACTGTGACCTCCTGGTTCATAGGTCAATGCTCAACCACTGAGCTATGCAGGCCGAGCTATGGGAGGATTCCCCCCCCACCCCCCAATTATTCTTTATTGTTGAAAGCATTACATATGTTCCCCTTTTTCCCCATTGCCCTCTGGGAGGCCGGCAGGAATCAGGCCACAACCCACAGTCCAATGCCACCTGCAGCTCCAACCTGCCTCTCCCATTCATCCCGGCCCCACTGTGCCTGCTGTGGACTCACACCCAATCAGTCCCCATCACGCCACTGCAGTGGCACTCGCCAGCCATGAGCCCTGTGCCTGGCGCTCATCGAAGGAGCATGGGGGGCCACCCAGGACGCGATCGGCCCTCTGGGCAGGCGGTAGGACGCCCTTGCCGGCCTGGGATCTGGATCTGTCCTGCTGACGGTCGAGCTGGCTGTTGAGAGCTACCTGGTGGCCACTTTCATATCGTTTCTTCCTTGCGGAGCGTCTGGGGAGGGGAAGCGGCCGCGATGCCCAAGGCTGACTTCCAGGAGGCCAGTGATGCTGTTGGGATTGTGCCGTTGGCACTGGTCTGTCAGTGCCTGGCCCATTCTCCGGAGATTGGACCTGCAGGACTACTGAGGGAGTGAGTGGCTGCCTCCGGGCTGGTGGGCTGCCAGGACAGGTGGGTCAGCTGAGCGGCGCTCCCCCTGTGGTAGCGCACTGACCACTAGGGGGCAGCTCCTGCATTGAGTGTTTGCCCCCTGGTGGTCAGTGCGTGGTTATAGCGACCGGTTATTCTGTTGTTTGGTTCCTTAGGCTTTTAAATATATAGACAAGGTCTTTGGTTGATTACCTCCCTCCCACCCTCTCTCCCCCACTTTCCCTCTGAGAGTCCACACTCTGGTCCATGCTTCCATGTCTCTGGATCCACTCTGTTCATTAGTTTATTTTGTTACGTAGAGTCCACATATGAGTGCGATCATGTTATACCTGTCTTTCTTTGACTGATTTATTTCACTTAGCACCAGACTCTTGCAGGTCCCTCCATGCTATCTCAAAGAGAAAGAGAGTCTTCTTTTTTTACTGCTGCATAATATTCCGTGGTATAAATGTACCACAGCTTTTCTATCCACTCATCTACTGATGGGCACATGGGCTGTGTCCAGACCTTAGCTATTGTAAATTTCTCTGCTATGAACATAGGGGTGCATACATTCTTTCTGATTGGTGCTTTGGGTTTTTTAGGATATATTCCTAGAAGTGGGATCACTGGGTCAAATGGGAGTTCAATATTTAATTTTTTGAGGAAACTCCATACTGTTCTCCACAGTGGCTGCACAGCCTGCATTCCCACCAGCAGTGCACGAGGGTTCCCTTTTCTCCACATCCTCGCCAGCACTTGTCGTTTGCTGATTTGGTGATTGTAACCATTCTGGCAGGTGTGAGGTGACACTTCATTGTCATTTTGATCTGCATCTCTCTGATGATCAGTGACTTTGAGCATGTTTTCATGTCTCTTGGCCTTCTGTATGTCCTCTATGGAGAAGAGTCTATTTAGGTCTTTTGCCCATTTTTAAATTGGATTGTTTGTCTTCCTTTTGTTAAGTTGTATGAGTTCCTTATATATTTTGGAGATTAACCCTTTATCAGGCGTATCACTGGCAAATGTTCTCCCCTGCAGTGGGCTCCCTTTTTGTTTTGTGGATGGTTTCTTTTGCTGATGGCTTAGAAAATACCAGGTGTATGTCCTTTCCTGCCGGGCCCGCCACGGCCTGACACCCTCCAGCGCCAGCCTGGTCACTGGCCTGATGAGTCACAAGGGCCCCGGGTCCCTCTGGTGTCAGCCCTGCCTCAGGGGTCCTCAGGGATTTTCCCTAACCAAAGACCCTAAAATCTGTACAGAGGGAAGGTGAGGGGTGGCCTCGGACGGCCAAGCACCCAGCTGACTGAGCAGGTGTGTGAGTTGGTTACGCGCCTGTTCACACAGACAGGCCCACGCGGCTGGGCTGCGGCTCTGAAGCCCAGGCCGGACACACGGCTGCTTCACTTCTTGGTGGCAAACCCGGCTGGCCTGGCGACCGCGGCACCTTGTGCTCACCGCCCCACCCCCCACCCCCCATGTCATGCCTTCACCGCAGAAGAACCTGTGTTAGTTTTCCAGGGCCGCCCTGACAGGGACACAGACTGGAAGTCCCAGGTCCAGGGCTAGAGCCTGACGCTGAAGGCCTGAAGCACAGCTGAGGGCGGGCCCGGGGGCCATGGCAGGGCGGCCGGGGGCCAGGGCAGGGCGGCCGTGGGCCATGGCAGGACGGAGCAGGCGATGCGTCCATGCTGTGGGTCCCCCAGGCATGGGCACCGGTGCGCCCCGGGCAGTTTCCCACCACGGAGCGGCAGCGTGAGCCCCAGGCCTGTCTCCTCGCTCCGGAGGACAGAGGGGCTGCGGTCACGGGGACTCGGAGAACGGGGTGTGCGCCCATCTGGCCGATGCCCACGCACACCCCGAGGGGCACGCTGTTCCGGCCTCGAGATCACCGGAGCTTCGCCCTCTTCCCCTGCAGCCACGGCCCTTCAGGAGCCGTCACGGTGTGCCCTGCCTGGGGCAGGTGACTGTTCGGCGGGAGCCTCGCGCCTCCCTGGCTGGGGGAGCACAGTGCCCCCCGCCTTCCTCTGGACAATCGGCTACTCAAACCCAAGTCATAGGCCCACAGCCTGTCCTCTTAGGGTCCCCACAGTGGGAGGAGGTCAGTGCCGTGTCCTGTGACATGCTCCAGGTGTGGGACGTTGCCTGGACAACACAGGAAGCAGAACGGGCACGCTTGTCAGATGCACCCAGTGGCTTAACACCTGCCAACCACTCATTTCTCACGCCCAGCGGCTGCTCTGAGCCTGGAGGTCCTCGAGTGCCCTCTGCTTGGGCCGTGGGTGAGGGAG